AACTCAACATGATCAAGTATCTTCATGCCAATGGACTGCCATTCCATGAATCTACTATCTCTGAGGCTGCTGGGAGCGACCATCTGGACGTCATCCAATACCTCCTCGAGAACAAGTCGGATACTTACATCACTGGGAGTGCGATGGACTATGCCGCGACTAATGGCCATCTTAACATCGTGCTCTATCTTCATGAACAACGAACTGAAGGCTGTTCAAGTTGGGCGATGAAGGGTGCCGCGGAGAATGGCCACCTGGATGTAGTCAGATTCCTTCACGAGAATCGCACCGAGGACCTCGATCACTCAACAGCCTTTGAGAGTGCAGCAGTCAAGGGGCAACTGTCCGTGATCCAATACCTACATCACATCGACCCGAAAATTGTTTGTAGGTACAACGCGCTGATACAACCAGCCATTGAAGGCCAAACACAGATAGTCCAGTTCATTTGTGAGAGATATCCAAGTCTTAGAATCACTACTTTTGACCTGATGAGCGTGAGATCGCATCAGGTCCTGGAGGTACTTGATCGATTGATGTCAAGTCAGATATGGGAGGTGGACAGAATATACAATCGATTCCAAGAATTACATGTGATCGAGTATATCATTGATCACAAGACCCCAGAGTACATTGCCAGATGTTTGAATGACAGAGTGCTTGGCAAATCCATGTTACTCGATCAATCAAAGCTATTCTTCAAGTTGATCAAACATATTGTCAATCCATCAACATTTACTGCAGTCTTGCTAGGATGCACCAATTTGATACCATATTGCAAACACAATGACATCTTGGAGTATATCTACCAATCATGCACACAAGATGGAATCGGAGTACCATTCCTGTGTCCTGAAGTTGACGACCGCGATGCAAAATATCTGGTCTTGGCTGGATTGGAGTTCATTCATCACAAAGGTGGCCTGCAATCACTTGCGACCATCCTGCACGGCATCTTGATGGGCGCCATCAGGTTTGGTCGCATCGACATTGTGAAGTTCATCCTGGACTCGGTTGGGTACCGACCCTCTAAGCATCACTTGTCGGTTGACTTGTTTGATCGTGCCATTTCGCACGGTCAAGTGGACATCCTCCAGTTCCTGCTGGACAGTATTGGTGTTGATGGCCAATTGCCAGAGTCTAGGACATTCTACGCAGATTGCGTTGATCAAGCCATTATCAATGGCCATCTGGAGATGGTGCGATTCATCTCTTGCGAAAGATTCAAGGACCTTATTTGCATGACTACTCAGGGCTCATTCAATAATTATCTCAAACGAGTGTTGATTGGGAATGCCTCTCCAGACACACCTCGATTCGTGGAGTATATGAGGTCCAATCATGCGGTCCAAGTCCAGGTATCGCCAGCCTCATTCAATTTGGACATCATCCTCGACCTGGACACCATAATCTCAATTAGTGAGGCAGGTGGCGTATACCCAATTCCAATATATCAAAGAAAATTGGTTGACAAAGGAGAGTATGACATCGTACGATACTTATTCTTCAATCAAAACGATCATGAAAAGGAAGTGCTAGTTAGAGAGCTTATGAAGGCAGGTAGCAGAGGATTATCGCCACTATTTGTTGATCTGCCAATGGCTGAGATTGTCCTTCGTCACAAGGATGGTGCACCATTCATCAATAGACAATCTGTGGACTTGGATAAGCTTAGGATCTTTCCACTCTCACTCGTACTTCTCACAAAGTACCTAATTTAAATAATTATTAATAAATTAATTAATTAACATTATTTGATTGTGAATGATTGGGATAGTTCCAGATTGATAAGAGAGAGAATGCCTATTTAATTGGAATAGTACCAGTAATATATTGGGTTTGGAATGGAGATGCATCAGAACTTCAGTATTAGGAAGTTTTTGATCAAAAACTTGATTTTTAATTTAATGATCAGAGTTCAGGTCATTTGTAATACAAGTACAATATGGCCAACGATCAATATACCTCACAACAACAACAACAAAGACTATTCAATCAGATTATCAACAATCAGGTTGTGAGACGATTGATCTTTGGACAAGTCAAACAGATAAATCGTGTACAATACTCAAACAGTCGAACATATCAATGGAATGATCTGATTCAATCAGTTGATATGTTGTCATTGTTTGGATACTTGGAGCCACTCAAACAACTGTGTCTATCAATCGAACAGAGATACAACCGTCACAAATGGTCAGAGATTGATGGTGCACCATTCATTCCAAAGTTGAGATCACTCACTCGTCATGCAGTCATTGGTGGACACCTCCACATACTTGAATGGGTGCATCAACGTTACTTCCCACATCTCAACGAGGTATTCTATGCCCTTGCGACAGAGACCATTCAATATGATCGAGTTGGCATTGCTCAATTCTTTGGACAACATCCCGAGTTCAGAGCATTCAATAACTTTCCAACAACAAAGAACTATGAGACCATCAGATATCGGACAAGCGAGTCGATGATACATACTTTGATCAAGTTGTTTGGAATCACATTGCCATTCAAGAATGATCCTGATCACATCCCAGATGCAATGATCAATCATCTCAACCTGGATGCTGATGGATGTCTACGACTGCTCCGTCTTTTCTCGGTTTGGTCATGTGGGAACCTCAACATGATCAAGTATCTTCATGTCAATGGACTGCCATTCCATGAATCTACTATCTATGAGGCTGCATACAACGGCCATCTGGACGTCATCAAATACCTCCTCGAGAACAAGTCGGATACTTACATCTGTGAGTATGCGATGGACAATGCTGCGAGGAATGGCCATCTTGATACAGTTCGATATCTTCATGAACAACGAACTGAAGGTTGTTCAGGTCAGGCGATTGTTGGTGCCGCAGAGAATGGCCACCTGGATGTTATCCGATTCATTCTCGAGAATCGCACCGAAGTTATGGATCACAAAACAGCCTTTGAGAGTGCAGCAGTCGAGGGACACCTGTCCGTGGTCGAATACCTACATCACTTCGACTCGAGTGTAGATTGTACCAATAAGGCGCTAACATACCCAGCCACGGACGGCCACGCACATATAGTCCAGTTCATTTGTGAGAGATTTCCAAGTCTTAGAATTGGTGCTCATAACCTGATGAACGTGAGTTCTCGTAAAGTCCTAGAGGTACTTGATCGATTGATGCCAAGTCAGATATGGGAGGATGACAGAATATACAATCGAGACGGTGATACACTTATGAATAGGATCGAGTATATCATTGACAACAAGTCGACAGAGTACATTGCCAGATGTTTGAATGACAAGGTGTTTGGCAAATCCATGCTACTTGATCAATCAAAGCTATTCTTCAAGTTGATCAAACATATGGTTAATCTATCCTTCACTTTGGCAACAGTCTTGCCAGCATGCCTAACGATGGCGCCATTTTGCGAACACAAGGACATCTTGGAGAACATCTACGAATCATGCACACAAGATGGAATGGGAGTGCCATTCCTGTGTCCTCAAGTTGGCGACGACGATGCAGAATATGTAGTTTTGGATGCATTGGAGTTCATTCATCACAAAGGTGGCCTGCAATCACCTGCGACCATCCAGCACGGCATCTTGATGGGTGCCATCAGATTTGGTCGATTCGACATTGTCAAGTTCATCATGGACACGGTTGGATACCGACCCTCTACGCATGACTTGGCGGTTGCCTTGTTTGATCGAGCCATTTCACACGGTCACGTGGACATCCTCCAGTTCCTGCTTGACAAGATTGGTGTTGATGGCCAATTGCCAGAGTCCAGGGCATACTACGCAGTATGTGTTGATCAAGCCATTGTCAATGGCCATCTGGAGATGGTGCGATTCATCTCTTGCGAAAGATTCAAGCACCTTATTTCCATGACAGCTCAGAGCTCATTCAATGAGTATCTCAATGAAGTGTTGACAAAGAGTGCCTCTCCAGACACACCTCGATTCGTGGAGTATATGAGGTCCAATCATGCAGTCAAAGTCCAAGAATCCCTAGACCCATACAAGATTGGCCATCGAGACTTTGTCCTCGACCTGGACACCATAATCTCAATTAATGAGGCAGGTGGTGCATACCCAATTTATCCAGATACCGCATATGAATTGGTTTGCAAAGGGATGTATGACATCGTTCGATACTTATACTTCAATCAACATGTTGATAATAAGGATGTACTCGTTGGAATTCTTTTGAAGCAACGTTTCAGAGAAGTATTTGCCAATCTGCCAATGGCTGAGATTGTCCTTTGTCACAAGAAAGGTGTACCATTCATCCAAAGAGTATTCTTCCACAACGACTTGGATCATTTTAGAGACTTTCCACTCTCACTGATACTTCTCTCAAAGTACCTCTTTTAAATAAATATCAATAAATTGATTGATTTAGTGATTGGGATAGTTCCAGTGGAACAGTGTTAGTTCCGGGAAATAATATTAATTTTGATTGTGATAGAGTATTTTGTCGAGGGATTTACATCCCTCGACACTTGCGAGATGATCATTTGTCGAATAAGATACAAGTATACAGGTACAACATGGTCAACGATCAAAGCACCTCACAACAACAACAACAACAACAAAGACGATTCAATCAGATTATCAACAATCAGGTTGTGAGACCATTGATCTTTGAACATGTCAAAGGCATTAATAGTATAACATACTCTCATTCTTTCAATCTATTATATCGATGGAATGATCTAATTCAATCAGTTAATATGTTGGCACGGTTTGGATACTTTGAACAACTCAAACAACTCTGTCTATCAATCGAACAGAGATACAACCGTCACAAATGGTCAGAGATTGATGGTGCACCATTCATTCCAAATTTGCGATCACTCACTCGTCATGCAGTCATCGGTGGACATCTCCACATACTTGAATGGGTGCATCAGCGATACTTCCAACATCTCAACGAGGTATTCTATGAGCTTGCGACAGAGATCATTCAATATGATCGAGTTGACATTGCTCAATTCTTTGCACAACATCCCGAGTTCAGAGCATTCAATAACTTTCCAACAACAAAGAACTCTAATCCTACCAATTATCGGACAAGCGAAGCGATGATACATACTTTGATCAAAGTGTTTGGAATCATATTGCCATTCAAGAATGATCTCGATCACATCCCAGATGCAATGATCAATCATCTCAACATTGATGCTGATGGATGTCTACGACTGCTCCGTCTTTTCTCGGTATGGTCATGTGGGAATCTCGACATGATCAAGTATCTTCATGCCAATGGACTGCCATTCCATGAATCTACTATCGATGATGCTGCTCATCTCGGCCATCTGGACGTCATCCAATACCTCCTCGAGAACAAGTCGGATATAGTAATCACACATAGAGCGATGGACAATGCTGCGAGGAATGGCCATCTTAACATCGTGCGCTATCTTCATGAACATCGATCTGAAGGCTGTACAAGTCGGGCGATGAATGGTGCCGCTGAACAAGGCCACCTGGAAGTTGTCAGATTCCTTCACCAGAATCGCACCGAGGACCTCGACCTTTCAACTGCCTTTGGGCGTGCAGTTGTCGAGGGACACCTGTCCGTGGTCGAATACCTACATCACATCGACCCGAGTGTAGGTGATACAGACGAGGCGCTGATGAACGCAGCAATTCAAGGGCATGCGCAGATAGTTCAGTTCATTTGCGAGAGGTATCCAAGCCTTAGAATCAGTAATGCGTACCTGATGAGCGTGAGGTCGCATCAGGTCCTAGAGGTACTTGATCGATTGATGCCAAGTCAGATATGGGAGGATGACAACATATACAATGAAGTCGATGTATCTCATATGAATATGATTGAGTATATCATTGACAACAAGTCGACAGAGTAAATTTCCAGATGTTTGAATGACAAAGTGTTTGGCAGTGCGATGATGCTCGATCAATCAAAGCTATTCTTCAAGTTGATCAAACATGTTGCCAATCCATCAATCGATACAACATTGGCAACAGTCTTGCCAACATGCATCACGATGATGCCATATTGCAAACACAATGACATCTTGGAGTATATCTACCAATCATGCACACAAGATGGAGTGGGAGTACAATTCCTATGTCCTCGAGTTGACGAAAATAGTCTGAGTTACATGGTCTTGGATGCATTGGAGTTCATTCATCACAAAGGTGGCCTGGAATCTCTCACAGTCATCCATCACGACATGCTGTTTGGGGCCATCCAGCTTGGTCTAACTGACATTGTCAAGTTCATCTTGGGCACAGTTGGATACCGACCCGCTACTCATGACGAGTCGGTCGCCTTGTTTGATTCCGTCATTTCAAAGGGACACGTGGACATCCTCCAATTTATGCTGGATAAGATTGGTGTAGATGGCCAATTGCCAAAGGATAGAGGCTCATATGCGAGTTGCGTTGATCAATCCATTACCAAAGGCCATCTCGAGATGGTGCGATTCATCTCGGGCGAGAGATTCAAAGAACACTTCCACATGAATGCTCAGAGTTCATATAATCAATATCATAAGATGGCGTCGCAGACTTCAGGCTCAAGTAACACAGCTCAATTTGTGGATTATATGAAGACCAATCATTCCGTAAATATACCTCCAGGCTCGTTCAAGATGGGACTCAAAAACATCGACCACGACCTGGATGCTGTAATATCAATTAGCGAAGCAGGTTGCAAATTCCCTCTATCTAAACAGACCACAACCAAATGGATTGAGTATGGGAAGTATGACGCTATACGATACTTGTACTACAATCAATATGTTGATAGGGATGATAAGGATTCATTCGTTGGAGAGCTGATGAAGGCAAGTAGCAGAGGATTATGGCCATTTGTTGATCTGCCAATGGCTGAGATGGTCCTCCTTCACAAAGATGGTGCACCATTCATCCAAAGAGAATACGTGGGCTTGGATCACCTAAAGAACAAACCACTCTCACTCAGACTTCTCCCAAAGTACCTCATGAAATAAATATCAATAAATTGATTGGGATAGTTCCAGTGATTGATTGATTTATTTATTGAGTGGGTAATGGAAGTGGGGGTTGTCGACCAATTAAACAATTCTCAAAAAGCTAAGATATTTTATGATCTAATGATCACTTGATCCATTATTATACAATACAAGTTATAGAGTATCATACAGATACATTATACAACATGATGGTCAACGATCAATTCACCTCACAACAACAACAACAAAGAAGATTCAATCAGATACTCAACAATCAGGTTGTGAGACGATTGATCTTTGGACATGTCAAACAGATACATCGTGTACAATACTCAGACAGTCGAACACATCAATGGAATGATCTGATTCAATCAGTTGATATGTTGTCATTGTTTGGATACTTGGAGCCACTCAAACAACTGTGTCTATCAATCGAACAGAGATACAACCGTCACAAATGGTCAGAGATTGATGGTGCACCATTCATTCCCAAGTTGCGATCACTCACTCGTCATGCAGTCATCGGTGGACACCTCCACATACTTGAATGGGTGCATCAACGATACTTCCCACACCTCAACGAGGCATTCTATGAACTTGCAAACGTTGCCATTCAATATGATCGAGTAGATATCATTCAATTCTTTGGACACCATCCCGAGTTCAGAGCATTCAATCTCTTTCCGGGCATTTTCAGCCGTATTCCGAGTGAGTCTATGCTACAAGCCCTCCTCAAAGCGTTTGGAATCGAGTTGCCATTCAACCCTGATCAGATCCTCGATGTAATGATCAATCATGTCAATCTTAATGCCAAGATCTGCCTGGTCCAGATCAGTTGCCTCTCAATTTGGTCATCCTGGAGCCTCGACCTGATCAAGTATCTCCATCTCAACGGACTCCCGTTCCATGATAAGACATTGGATGAAGCTGCCCGGCACGGTAGACTGGACGTCATCCAATACATCCTGGAGGAAGCAAGGCCAAGCGACTTGGTTGTGAGCACAGGTGTGATGGACAGAGCTTCAATGTCTGGCCATCTCGACATTGTACGATACCTTCATGAACATCGCACCGAAGGGTGTTCATTCTGGGCGATGGAGGAGGCGGCCACCAAAGGCCACCTGGATGTCCTTCGATTCTTTCAAGAGAATCGCACTGAGACCTGCCAAACTAATGCCATGGACATTGCAGCAGAGGCCGGTCATCAGTCCATCGTTGAGTATCTCATTAGCAACAGGACCGAGGGTTGTACGGGCTTTGCACTTGATGGCGCGGCCCTCAATGGACACGCACAGATCATTGAAATACTTTGTGAGAAGTATCCCCATCTCACAATTAAGATCTTCACCATGATGGAGCCCATATCCAGGCAGGTCCTGGAGGTACTCTACCGAACGATGCCACAAATGATCGTGGTAGATGACACCCTTTACAACGCGATCATAAAGAAACACATGGATATGATCAACTTCATCTTTGACCACGAGTTGTTGGCCCAATGCTATATCGATGTCAAATTGATTGGGCGCTCGATGGACCTTCCTCAATCAAACATATTCCACAAATTCATCAAACATGTTGGTGATGATGGTGACAATATCAATCCAATCCTACAGTATTGCATCAGGATGGCACCATGGTGCCCACACACTGACATCTTGGAGTACATACACTCAGCCTCCATACGCCATAGCATCTCCTTTGCATACCGGTCAGTCAAGAAGATGGAGACTGTGGTCTTGGACTCATTGGCATTCATCCACGAGAAGGGTGGCCTAACAAATGCATCGATCCAATATGATATACTCATAGAGGCCATCGAAGCTGATCGACTTGACATTGTCAAGTACATGTTGGACAATGTTGGATTCAATATTCAAACAAAGTCCGACTTCTTTGCGACGGCCATTGAGAAGGGACGTCTGGACATCCTTCAATGCATGCTTAGCAACACTGGTGGCATCCTTCCAACCTCCAAGTTTGCCTATCAACAATCGGTACACCTGGCCATTTGTGGCGGCGATTTGGAGATGGTGCGATACCTCACCGAACACTATAGAGACCAACTTCAATTCGATGCTCAGACCTCATTCAACAAGTACCTCGCAACAATGCCCGATAAGAAGGACTCACCCAAAACTCATCGATTTGTGGAGTATATGGTGCGCAATCACTCAGTCACCGCCCCACCAGAGAGTGCATTCGCCGCAAAGGGAAGCAGCTATGACTTGGATGCCACAATAGCATTGTTTGAAGCTGGTGCCACCAAGTACCGTGAGGATCTTGCAACCAACCTGGTCGCGACAGCAAACTATGACATTACAAGATACTTGTACTTTAACAATAGAGTGGATAGGCGGTTGTTGATGGAGATGATGGTATCAATTTATAATCCATTACTATTCATCAATTTACCAATGTCTGACATCATCCTTGGTCACCAAGTCGAGCCATTCATTGACAGGAATTCAGTCAAACTCCAATCCATTGCACGATATCAAATCTCCTACAACTTACTCAACAAATATATAATATAATATATAAATAATAATTTGTTATCAATCAATCATATCATACAATGGCGATAATCGATCACTTCCAAAATAAGATAAGATGTTCATGAAAATATCTTTGAGCGATGACGATGAAACGACACCCAAAACAATCAATCAAACTTATGTTACTCACTTCAAACAAACAAATACATAGATATTAATAGAATATGTCGTACACAAGAGATGATTTAATCTATCTTGCCAAGCTGGCTGAACAAACTGAGAGATATAAAGGTATTGCACGCGCGAGCAACATGTTGGTATTCCTGGCGACGGAGTGACTGACCATAGTGCGATTTCTAGAGATGAAGGATGCAATGTATCAGATGGCAAAGATGAATGTTGATATGACAGTAGAGGAAAGGAACTTGTTATCAGTGGCCTACAGGAATCTAGTTGGTGAGAGACGTGCTTCTTGGAGAATAATCAAATCGATACAGGATAATGAGGAGTCAAAGGGCAATCAACAACACCTGTTACTGATAGCAGAGTTTAGATCAAAGATAGAAGAAGAGTTGAATATAATATGTGATGAAGTGTTTAGCTTGTTGAAGGATCATCTGTTGCCTGCATGTTCGTCTGCTGCTGATGAGTCGACAACTTCTGCTGCCACTGCCACAGCCTCAGCCACACAACAATGCGATGCCAAGACATTCTATCACAAGCTGGCTGGTGACTACCTTCGCTATAAGGCTGAGGTAACTCCAGTTGGTGAAGCGCACAGACAGGTCTCTGAACTATCGATGAAGGAATATGAAAAGGCGATGGAGGAGGCGAACCAATCCATGCCACGGACACATCCTATTCGACTAGGTCTGGCACTAAGTTATGCTGTATTCTACTACGAGATACTGAATAGACCTGAGAAAGCAATAGAGCTGGCCAAGAACACATTCGATGGTGCAATCGCAGACTTGGATGGACTGCCAGACAATGAGTACAGAGATGCCACGCTAATAATGCAAATGCTGCGAGACAACATGACCTTGTGGACTGCAGAGATGGATGATCACTCGAATCAAGAGCATGATAATGATCAGTAATAAATAAATGTATATATTTTGTATATAACCTACATTGATCGTATGGAGCGAACGATGATTTCCATATCAGGCGATCATTCAGGCACACTTCCTTTTTAGGCGATCATTTAAGATTTCCAAATCAGTTAATCTTTCAATCATATCATTCACACAATCATCAATATACAATAGATAGATAGAGAGCACATTGATGATGTTGGACCAATTCTTCATTGCTGTGATGGGCAATAAAGTGATCCGTCGCATCATCTTTAGTCAGGTCAAGATCATTCACAACAAGCTCGCGGAAAGAACAAAGTGCTACACATGGATGGAGGTCATGAGCTCACCAATGTTGTTGGCACTCTTTGGTCAACATGAGTTTCTAAAGGAATCACTATCAACAATTGAGGCAAAGTATAATAATAATGGCTTAATAAGTTTATTAGTGATCAATAATGGCGCCCCATTCGTCCCCAATCTCAACCAGGTGATGCGAGGCGCAGTCATTGGAGGACACCTTCAAATCATTGAGTGGGCACATCAACGATACTTTGCCAATCACCATCTAGGCGGGATGTTCTATAAGTTGGCCGACGAAGCAGTGGTGCATGATCATGTGGACATCGTGCGCTTCTTTGGACAACACTGGCAACTGATGGCATTCTATCAGTTCCCATGCGAAGTCAACAAGATATCGAGTGAGGCAATGCTGCACACACTCATTGAAGAGGTGTTCCAGTTGACACTGCCCTACCAAGGTGTCGATCATATACCTGAACATATGACGCTGCTGCTCAATATGGACAATGTCAACTGTGAAGGCTTGCTCTTGAGTCTGTGTTATTGGTGCAGTCATAACTTGGACATGATCAAGTACCTGCATGCGAATAGTCTCCCCCTGGGAATACATCTCATTGATGACATGGCCAGACATGGAAGCCTGGAGGGCGTGAAGTTCATTCTCAAGAATCAGACCGCATCATATATCACAACAGAGACGATGAACTCTGCTGCCGCGGGTGGCCATCTCGATGTCGTGCGCTATCTACACGAGACGCGAACTGAAGGATGTACCACACAAGCGATCGACTCTGCTGCGTCAGGTGGCCATCTTCATGTCGTTCAATATCTTCACGAGACGCGAACTGAAGGATTTACCCATGAGGCGATGGAATTGGCAGGGCTGGGCGGCCACACTCCTGTATTAGAGTATCTTAACAATGCATGAGCGAATGGCGCCCGTTCTGACATATTCCATAATGGTCTTCATATCCAGGATGTTATTTTAAATTAAATTATTTATCAGACTATTTATTAATAATTAACGTTGATGGTTCCCCAGTGCTACATTGGACATCTCGACATCAGACGTGTGCTGATGATGTTGACTGGATGTGGAGGAGTGTCCATGATGCTGATGATGATGACCAAGTACTGCATGTGCCTTGTTTTGTTCCTTTCTTCGTTTGACAATCTTGACAACAACAACAATGAATATGATTGTGAGTAATACACTTATAATAGGTATTACAATTGCCATTATTATATTGTTCAGACTTAGTTTTGACTTGTTGTCATTGTTGTGATCGGGTGGATGATGGTCCTCTATTACACATGACTTGCTACACACTATTACTGTTGAATCATTACTACTAGTTGATTGAGTACCTGTACAATTGATCCAATGTGTATCATCTGGAAGGTATACTGGTGTTGTAGTACATTCTGTGCCAATACCTTGGCAACAACCAGTAGTAGTGGTGGTGGTTGTTGCCATAGTTGAGTATTGTCCAATGATAAATATAAATATAAATATAAATATTATTGTATATTTCATTGTTATATAATGATATATGATGTGATGTGATTGATGGATGATATTGAAGTGATCTGATGTTGTGAGTCAATCAATGACGATGGGTGGATTCAAGTATGAATGAATGAATGTACAGTACACTACACTACAACTATTGGTTTAAACATCAAGCTCCTCAAATGGATGTGATGACTTGCAATGGATATTTATAGTTTTTGGGTATTTTTGATTGATTAATTAATTATTTGATCGATCAAAGTCGCGTGAGTTTTGTCGTTTCACGAATTATCTGAAGCCCTGTTTTGCAAGAATTTGATGGGATGTACCCAAGTCGTGTCATGGTTTGTACCCTTGTGAGGGGGTCGATTGAGCCCTCATTGGAGGTCAAACAAAGACATACTTAGCATTCAGGTATACACAAAGGGATCGGCTTTCTGATTGACTGACATCATCAAACATAATCAAACATCAAAACACGAGTAGTGTAGTCAGAGTGGAGTGGAGTCACTTGGTGTCACATGGCATTCGGGCGAGTGATCATTATAACAAGATGAGATGTTGAGCATCACATCATCTGAAACTCGCGTAAATATTGCTTGTCCTTGTCCTTGTCTTTTGTCCTTGTATTTGAACTTGTCGTTGTCCTGGTCCTTGTCCTTGTCCTCGACATCCACCACATAGTTGTGCCTAGCATCACTCAGTACAGAACCTATGACATCTTTGTGATGCATCCGGGAAGGGTTCGCAGGAGAACTCAATCACTTCATCATCATCAAACAACGTTACTTACTTATTTACTAAAACTTACTTCAATGTATCTATCTCTCTCTCTCTGTTCATGTTCATTCATTCATTCTTCGACCCATCTTGGTTGTTTCCAATTTTTGGAAACTTAGATGTCTAAGTTCAAACACAACATGGAATGTACTCCAAGTCCAAAGACAGATACTACTCCAACATGTTCTTACAAATATATATACATAGTACATTATTACTTTTTCAATGGACAAAGTGATCAATATTGATTCACCATCAACATCAACATCACCTTCAATATCAAATGTGTTCAATCAGACATTTAGAAATGTAGTGTTACGTCGAATGATCTTTGCTTGTGTAAAGACTATTCATAGATCATTGGGAGAACATCAGACAAAGTATGTTTGGAAGGAGATAAGACAATCACCTACGTTGTTGGCACTCTTTGGTCAACTTGATCATCTCAAACAATCATGTCTCGAACAAGAACAGAGATACTCAAAGTATCGCTGGTCTGAGATTGATGGTGCCCCATTCGCTCCCAACCTTCAACAGATTGTGAAGCAGGCAATCATTGGAGGACATCTCAATATACTCGAATGGGCATATCAACGCTACTATCCACATGTCCACGAGTTGTTTGATGGACTGGCAAATCATGCCATTGACAAAGGCCATGTACACATTGTTCGGTACCTCGGACATACCCTGCCCGCCGGTCACAAGGCCTTCCACAACCTACCGACCTCATCACATATGTACGAGATATCATCAGATATGCTGCAATGTCTCATTCATGAGGTGTTCCGCATACCTCTACCCTATCAACATAACATTCCCGAGAGATTGAAGCGCCTTCTAAACTTGAATGAACGTTGCTGTACCAACGTCATCTCGTCACTCTCACTATGGTGTTGCAAGAGTCTAGAGCTGATCAAATATCTCCACACCAATGGACTGCCAATCATGAAGGAAACAGTCAACGCTGCGGCCAAGGCAAACGAACTCGAGGTCTTCAGGTATCTGGAGATTGAATGCAAGCTGGGCAAGCATATCAAGGCTGCAGCGATGGACATTGCCGCAGGAGCAGGTAGTCTAAAGATAGTCAGATATCTCCATGAGAATCGCAATGAAGGCTGCTCAGAGTATGCATTGTCGGATGCCGCAACACAAGGACATCTTGACGTGGTGCGATATCTACAAGAGAAACGAGGTAACAAGTGCAATCTGGAGGTGGCACTAGAACGTGCGATAATACATGGACATCTTTCGATTGTAGAGTACCTACATCGGCTCACGCCAAATGGATGTCGTCATTGGATGTTTAAGTCGGCTGCCGAGGCTGGCCATCATCAGGTCGTCAAGTTCCTGTGCGACAATCAATCAAACGATCAGATCAGATATGCTTCAAGTGACCTGCTATTGATTGATAGTCCCTTGGTCTTGGACATCTTGGATCGTCGATTGCCCAATATGGTGTGGCCTCGCTACATTCTATCGCAAGCGTTCAAACAACGAAAGATTGACATCATCGATTATCTTGTGAACAACCAACAACAACACCTGGGCAAATGGGTTGATCTCAAGGTGATTGGTAAATCGATGCGCCTGGAAGACCCATCATACTTCTTCAAGCTTGTCCAATACCTCCCTGGGGGAGAATATGCCCTATCAGAAACATTCTCGCTCATTCAAATGGCACCCTTCTGCCAGCATCGAACCATCCTTGATTATGTGTATAAAGAATCAATCAAGTATAATTGTTCATTCACCCTGCCAACGTTTATCCGGTACATCCGTGGTGGTAGGATGGCCAAGGTGGAACTGGAGTCGTTGCATTACTTCAATGTAAAAGGTGACTTGAAATCAAAGAGTCATGAACTTTTTGAAAGTGCATTGGACTCCAATCGAATGGATATAGTCTTGTACGTTGTGGACACTTTCGAGTACTCGATATTTAGACGTGCAGACGTGTTTGACAAGGCAATAATAAGTGGATCAGTTGAAACCCTTTGCCGGTTCATCTCCAGGAACGAAGGACAATTGCCATGGACGTATACATTGTACAGTGACGCAGTGAATGACTCCATTCTCAAAGGCAACAAGAAGATGATACGATTCCTTGCAGGGACGCCTCATTGTTATAAAGTGGAATTTGAGGCCCAACACTCGTTCAACACATACATGTCCAAGAAACACACAGACATCGATCGCGATCCAAACAAAGTGGCACGATTCATTGACTACATGTTGAAGAATCACGAGATAGAAGCCCAACAGTCATGGTTTAAACATGGCGATTTATTCAACTTGGACGCGACCATCAGTCTCTGGGAAGCTGGATGCACTACATATGATCTGGGTGTTGCCTTTAACGGTTTGAAACAACAACACACCGACGTACTAAGGTTCGTCCACTTCAACTTCCCCAAAGGTACTTTGTTCAACCTGTTGTCCAAGAGGCTGGAAGAAGACATTACACTATTCCTACCTCATCTCTCTATGATAGAGATGATCCTAAGTGATCAAACTACTCCATTCATTTCAAAGCGATTATCATATATGTTTGAACGTATGGAGAAGCATCCAGTGTCCAACGATTTGGTCAACAAGTTCCTAATCAAGGATGATAAACAAAAGGTATCCAATAAAGTATTAAGTGTGTCACATTGACTCTGAATAAAATTAGATAGTATTGTGTGAGGGCAAGGGCAAGGGTTGGGGTAAGGGTTGGACGTGATTTGAATTCAAATTTGAACAGTTGATTCAAACAGAGTATGTTTACAGGGTCATACATATACATATATATATATAAACATATAACTGTACAGATATTTATCAATCAACCAATCAATCAATGAGACAACATCAACCAACACCGTGATGACTTCAAAAGAACAACAAGATTATAACAATCACAATCATAGTAATAATAACGATAATAAGGATACTTCAAGAATGGATAGTGATATGATGATGATGGCGGCAACATTACCAATAATGTCACCAAATGTAGAGTCAGAGAGGATAAACCAACTGCTGACAGAGGCCATCAGAATGATCTTTAGTCAGGTGGAGGAACTCAAGAACAAGATGTCTGCCAATCAGTCAAAGAGCAATGAACTGCTGAACCAGAGTCTTCGCAATCTCAACGTACGATCATTCATTCATTCATTCATTCATTCATTGATGCAAAGAGATAATGATGTGATCAAACTAACAATCAGCGTACAGGCAAAGGATGAACGGATTACTCAGCTCAAGCAGAGACCTGCTGAACCACAACAACCTGTAATCCCAAACAAAGAAGACAAGGCAACAGATGATGGGGATGAGACACAGACTACCGACTCAAACAAGGAGCAGCAACAGCAACAACTTGAAGAGTACTACCAAAAGATTGTAAGATATGAGGAAGAGGTCAAAGAGTTGAACGAGAAGGTAGATTCACTTCAAAAGAGTAAGTTACTTGAGTCGAGTCAATCAATCAATCAATCAATCAATCGACAATGATACTAACCATTACAAAACAGTTGTATTGATGTTTCAGAGGAGCAATAACAAACTGACGGCCGATTATGCAGAGGTGACAACATCGCTCGAACATCTGGTCGCCAAGGGCAGAGCACAAACGGTATGATAGGACTTGTCGGAGGAAGATGTTGAGTCCGAGACATATGACTTGGAGTCTCCGGAGACTACATTCATGCATGCACATTCGAATCTGACACTCACTCAATCAATCGACCAATCAAACAGCAAACACTGATGATGGAGAGAAACCATTTGGAACAATATAGACTCCAGCTGTCGGAGCAACAGAATGCCAACCAGCGACTGCGCCAGGAGAATACTCAACTCAAGATAAAGATGAAGGAGATGCTGACGCTGTTGCAATGCGCTGCCGAGGAGGACGATCCCAACCAGCAGCTGGTCAGCCAACTGTTGACCGAGAATGCAGCACTGCGCAAGATGTTACATATATCACAGTCGTTTGCCGGAAACAATACGCCAATCGATACTCTGTTGCTGGATCAACAAGATCAACATCAACAAGAACAAGAACAAGAACAAGGACCAGAACAATCACAATCACATGATGGACAAGATGAAGAGACAAGCGAGCATAACAGTTAGCAAATACACACATTGAACATGTAATATAATATGAACAACAATACTACCCTCATTTTCAGCCATTCAGTTCTCTATCATTCATTCCTTTTCGTTGTCCACTACATGTCAACTCACATCCAGTGAGTGGCAACAAATACCATGACAATAATATTGATTCCTAAGTCTTTCCAGTAATGATAGGTGATTGCCATTGGTTAAAGGATGTTGTAGTTAAGTTGGACATATATTTTAGTGATTGATTGATTGATAATGATAATATTTGGCGGATTGGATTAAAAAAGATTTTGTTTTTTTAGATATTATTATATAATTTAATATTTAGTTAGATAATATATAAATAAACATATTTAATATTGGAACATATTTTTTCTACTCGTATATTAACGAGTTTTCAAACAAAAAAAAAATACAAAAGTTCAAAAAAGGATTTATCAAGAATGGGAATCGAACCCATGACCCAAACCGTGTTAAGGTTTTGTGATAACCAACTACACCATCCTGACTTGATGGGAAAATATTATTATTCTTTCGTTTTATGGGTATTGAATGGAAGTTCGGGTTTAATATTAATTAAGTTAACTTGATTGATTATATTAAAAATTGTCTGACCATTGTTTGTTTTCAATCGATATCGATCACTAAGTTAATTGATTGTGTCAAGTAATCATTATTACATCTGTCTACTACATCAACAAAGTCGTTTTCTTTTTATCACCTGTGTGTCCAAGACAAAGCTTCTATTCTGTTTTATCTCAATCCTAGGCAAACAACAACATTCATTTCTTAGTTTCCAAAGTGTGAATAGATGACTTGCAAACCAAAGATAACACATAATTTTAATTTTTAGACACTAATCCACCACACAACAACAACTTTCTCTCTCTCTCATCCTCTCTCACTCATTCTCCAACGCTCTCTCTCTCCTCTCACTCTCTCACTCATTCATTGTTGTTGACTCACTAACTTGTCACATCTACCCTTATTGATAATAATAATAATAATAATAATAATACAATACAGCTCAATACTATTTCTATTATTATTGTGACTAGAAGATCTTCTATTAATCAATTTAGCAAGCTCAATTAAGCTTAGTATGTATGAACGCGGTTAATAGAATCAACGAACGATGATTACTAACATCACATGACAGACAGTAGAAAATAGATAAGCTTAGGACATTGTTCAATCATCAGCAGCAGCAGCATCAGCAGCAGCAACAGCAAAAGGAGGACAACAAGAGGGATCAATTGTGCGATATTAGCTCAAATTGGATTGATATAGAGACAGACGCAATCGTTAATCCTCAAATATCACTATTCAATACATCTACTCAATTCAAGTTAGTTGATCAACATCAACAACTACAACATCAAATAACAATGAGCAGCCCAAATCAACAACAACAACAACATCAACAGCATCAACAGCAACATCAACAAAATCAACAACAACAGCAGCAACAGCAACAGCAACAACAACAGCAACAACAACAACAACAACAACAATCACATGCCCCTCAACAACAACAACCACAACAGAGACAAAAGACTGGTAACAGTTTAAATGAGAATATGGGATTCTCTGGCCCATTGTCATCTATAAATTTCAATGAGTCACTTCTCAATGACTTTGGCCTCAATGACTCGGTCATCCACGATATGAAGGCACAGCAGCCCGACACCTACAAGCTCATTGACTTTGCTCTGAGCGCCAGCTCCAACCTCAACACAGCCAACATCTGGGATCACGAGGCTGAGAACGCGATGTTTGGAATCGACCCGGCCAACAACGCCGCCACAAGCACGGGCCAGAGCAACACACTGTCCAATCTGATGACCGGCCACGAGCAGCCCACCAACGCCGGCAACTCCTTTGGCCTGTCTGCGCTGCTCGGTGGCAACAACACGGGCAACAGCTTCAATATATTGAACAACTCGTTGCTCAACAACTCGCATCACATCGACATACAACAGCACCTGCAGCAGCTGAGCCAACAGCTGGCGCAGCATGGCCAATCGGTCAACCCATCCACACTGTTCAAGCCGATGGAGACATTCCCTCCGATGAAGACAGAGCCGCCTCCAACCTTCCAACACGACAGTCCACAGAGCGCTGTGGGTGGCGGTGCCCAGGTGCCCCACTCGCCCCTGCCGCCAACGCCTACACTCTCTACCATTCACAACGTCATCAACTCGGGCGCGCCCGTGCCACATTCACCACAGACCTATCAGGGTCAGCCTACGCCCACCCACACTCATTCACCTCCCTCGTCCACTCCATCGACGCCACACTCGGAAGCTCAAGCTATCCCATTCCAATCAATTGTAAACACATCAAATGGCAGCATGGAGACTCAGATCAATCAGCTGATGGCACCAAAACAGAAGTCGCCACAGATTCAAGTTCCTCCACAATACACAAGACCACAACAACAACAACAGTCACAGCCACAACAACAGCAACAGCCACAACAACAACAAACATCAACACCTCCATCGTCATCATCTTCATCATCAAAACAACATGAACAACAACAAGTACCATCATCATCACAGTCCAATGGACCAATATTGGAGATTGTGGACAACTATCAACAACCATTCCCAATCTACACGGTCAAGACTCACGTGCTTGTGCCCGCACCAGTGGTCCGCGCAACCAACTATACGGGCGATCCCAACGACCTGATTGTCGTGGCCAACCCCGAGCCCGATGACAGTATCATCATCTCGCAGCCAGCCGTCACCGCCGCCGATGGCACCTACGAGTTCAAGTTCACCGACATGCACGTCGACCGTAAGAAGCATGACCCATGCAGCTCGTTCAAGCTTCGTTTCAGTCTGCTCGACCGTCGCACATTTGTGCGCCACAGTGATGTGATCTCTGCCAACATCAACCTCTTCTACCACACCGACCTGCTGCCGGCACCTGACATTGTGCGTCTCGTTCCCAACCAGTGCTACTGTGGCCAGGAGCCCGACGTCACATGCTACGGATACTATTTCAAGAAGGGAAGGACCGAGATTCTCTACGTGGACTTTGACCCAGAGAGCCCCAGCATGGACCACCAGCACTACACCGTCAACCAGGAGCATCTGCGCATGCCCAACCAGACGTCGTTCTCGTTCGTCTTCACCCCACCCCACCGCAAGACACCGGGCTCGTACAGCGTGTCCACCAGGTACACCCGTACCACCACCAAGAAGGACAAGGACAAGAACAAGAAGTCCAAGGTGGGCAAGGCCTTCCAGTTCCACTACAACGAGTTGCCCGAGTCTGGCCAGACCAAGCGTATTAGACGTGAGGTTGATCCAAATGGCGGCGACAGGTACATGGACACTCAACAACATCATCATCATGGCGGCGGCAACAACAACAACTTTATGAACACACAACAAGATGGCTTCTACACCTCTGGCTACATTGGTGGATCGTCGTCGCCCTCCTACGGCAACTACAACTACATGAAGTGTATACTGTATGGCGAGGTGGAGGACCTTGAGGAGATGCTCCAGAATGACCCACAGGGACTTAACCTCTGCGATAACAGTGGCAACAGTCTTATCATGCTCTGCGCACGTGAAGGTCGCGATGAGTTTGTCGAGAAGCTTCTCGAGCTGGGTGCGGACCTCACCTTGGCCAACAAGACCGGACACACTTTGTTCCATATGACTTGCTTTGCTGGTAGCGTCAATCTAGTCGAGGCAATTTTGCAAAAGGGTAAGTGTCACAATGTCAATCATGGTCATCATTACGATCAATTTCTAACGCGACACACACAACAGTGGACATGTTTGCAAGGGATAGCGTTGGTGCCACTGGACTTCACATCGCCACTGAGAAGGGTCACGTGCGTTTGGTGCAGTTCTTGTGCCAACGCGCCGAAGCCTTGGTCGATGTCAAGGACAACCGTGGTCTGACTGCACTGCACTATGCCGCAATGGATGGTGATCAGCGCATTGCCAACATCTTTATCGATCACTACAAGCACGTCAGCCCCAAGATGTTGGACGTTCAAGATCACTCTGGTATGAGTCCACTTCATTGGGCTGCTGCCGTTGGTCGTTTCAATATCGTTGTGCGTCTGGTTGAGTCTGGCGCCGACATCAACCTGGTGGACGGCGACAACGAGTCACCAGTGTTCAAGTCGATTGTGGCCTACAACAAGCCAATCACCTCTCATTTGCTGGACAGCAAGTGCGACATCCAGATCCTCAACACTCACAACAAGTCCGCCATCGACCTGTTGGCCGAGATGGCTGAGCCAGTCCCAGAAGACAGCCCAATGGAGTCCTCCATCACCACCACCGTTGCCTCTCCCTCCCAGGAGGAGAGCCCCATCAGCAGCGAAGCATCCACCTCCATGTCCTTGTTGCCAGGCACCGCCACTCCACTGCCCAACCTGGACAGCAAGCGCAGCATTGGAGATCAGCTGCGAGCCGAGCTCGAGGAGCAGCTCGTTCGTCAACTGGCAAAGCTCAACCTGCAGCAGTCGCAGCAGTACCATCAACAGCATAACAGTGGACAGTCCACCACCAAGCTGGAGATGTTCAAGCCAACTCCAGGAGAGTTTTCCAACAAGACTCAACACTTTGGCGACATCAACACATGGACATCGCGTGACATCACTGTCAACCGCTTCGAGCAACTTATCAATGAGATCGAGATGAACGTTGCCAGCGGATCCGACGGCGGCATGTCCAAGAACAAGAAGCTCACGTCCCTCCTCCAGCAGTCCTACTCTGACAAGGTGTCTGACTACATTCACTGCGAGGAGGAGCTGTTGCAGACCAAACGCGAGATCCTCGACCTTGAGAACGAGCTCAACGTCAAGGCTCACGAGATCATCCGTCTGTCTGACTTTTTGTCGTCGTGCCCCGTGTCACTGTGGGAGCTTGGCGCTGGCAAGCTTGGTCTGTTCGTCCTGAAGCGCGACAGATACTATGGATTCCATCAGAGTGATATCCTGGTTGTTGTCTCTAGTGACTCAATGAACGCCCTGCACAAGGTATACGGCACCAACCTGCCCGACTGTCTGCTCGCCAACATTGTATTCAGCAACAAGGTCAAGTCTAGCAAGCCATCCGCTCTGATGCCAGTCGTTGGCACCGAGTTCCTGTATGTAGATATAGAGGTGACTGACAGGAAGTAGACCGGCACCAGTCACAAACCATGGCAATCACAACCAAGCGAGCGATCGAACAAATATATGTAAATAATAAACCAACTTCAACTCGAGTATATATATGATCCAAGTTCGCGTCATTTATTAAAGACCAAGTCCTAGTCGGTCTTTCCTAACGACGGCCTTGATGGGTGCGTCCATGCCCTGTCCGGTCGATCCCAGGCCTCCACCTGTCCAGCCCATCTTCTTGAGCATGATGTTTCCAATGTTGGTGTCAGAGATTGGCTCGCGGTTGCCATCCACAACATCTCCATGATGAAGCCGCAGTGGTGATTTGGTGGAAGGTGATGATGTGTTGCTGTTGCCCTTGTTGCTGTGTGGCGATCCTTTCAGACCTCTCGGGGAGCCCTTATAGAACTGTGGCGATTGTGGATGCTTCCTCGGAGAAGTGACATTGACTTTGCCCTTCCTATTGTACAAGATTGTCTTCTCATTCTTCCTTGGCGATGAGGAGAGTAGTGTCGTCGATGTTGATGACTTGGTGTCCAGTGAGTCATTGGAAGTGGAAATGCCATTGCTGCTGTTACTACTGCTCAATGCATTCATATACTCTGTCAATGCTGCTTCAATATGCTTCTCCTTTTTCCTGATCGATGGCTTCTTTGTGTTCTTGTGAATGATGATGTATATCGTCTTTCGTCCATCTGATAGATTGATTGTGTTAGTTAAAGGCATCGCTAAACTATCAACATAGTACACATACTTATTATCTTATTACTACTGAATATACTGTACTGCCTTGACAGATACTCGACTTGGCTCAATGATGCTTTGGACATTGGCCAGAGTGGGATCTCGCTATAAGTGTGAAGATGGTCGGTTAGTGATCCGCAGACAGGTCATGTGATGCTTGTCAGGCTAATCATCTACTTACTATATATATGAATGTAATATAAGATTATCAAACAAGGTTGCCACCATACTCAGTTGCTTGGATGTGTAGCTGGAGAGGGTGGGTCCACGATCGTACAGGTATTGGATATCTTGCTTGAAGGCTGGTGTACAGTGGTTGTCAAGACACTCGACCAATACAGAGTTGAGTGAAGGCTTGGGCGGGAATGTGCGAGAATCTAGATGTGCGTGATGTGACATCAGGTTGGTGGAGGATGGGAGAAGAAGAAGGAGGAAGGACCAGAGCATTAATATGTGTGTATTTATCAACTACAACATCGGACCGGAGCTCTTTGATCTTTACCAGGCATCCTAACAAATGGCTCAAAGGTGTCTACGTCTATCAACTCTTTGGAGTGTTCGCCGCTGCTGTTGATAGGCTTGGGAGGGATGACAATGTCATTGCCATGCACCTTCTTGATCCACTGCGCAAACGAACCCTTCCTCAGGGTCTCTGGGTCGGTGTCCGACTCGGACTCGGACTCGGAACCAGACTCGGATTGGGAGTAGTCGACCATCTCGTCCAGTCTGTCATCGCGCTGGCTGTTGTTGCTCTGCATGTAGGTGTTGTAGTTGAAGCCATGGAGGTTGTTGTTGGCCAGTGAGATGGGTCTGCTTCCAAACGAGCTGGTCACCTGTGACTTGAATGGGTTGGTGAAGAAGCAGCCCTCGTCACCCGATGGCTCCGAACCATTGGCGTAGCATGACACAATTCGATCGTCATCACTCTCGCTCTCACTGCTAACCTCGATGTGCTGGTTGTCATTGTCGTCACAGGTGCCATTCTCGTCGTCGTCCATGGAGCAGCTGGTGGCAACCTGGTGTGGCTCAAGGTCTGTGTCGTAAGTATCGCTCTCTCCGCCAATGAAGTGATCGCTCTCATCTGCAAACTCATCCTGGTTGTCGTAGCCCAACTCGTAGTCCTCGGACTGTGGCACCACCTGCTTCTCGTCATCCTCCTCCACATCAATGTACTCCATCTCCTCATCTGAAGATGAGGTGAGTACAATAACATCGTTTATCAGTTGGAATGATACCTTCTTCTCCAATGGGTAGGGTCTGGGTCTTTGAGCTGGGTCTGTACTAACGCGTGGAGATGACAAAGCCGAAGTTGTAGTAGTCGTAGTTGTGGTAGTGGTAGTGGATGATGATGGTGTGGCAGTGGCAGCGGCAGTGGCGATCTCTGAGACTGGCCTCAGCTCGACTTGATCCTCCCCATCATCCTCCTGATCATTCAAAAAGCCTGACTTGACAAAGCTTGATAACTTTGATCGCAGGGGTGGTGTAGCTTGTTGTTTTTGTTGTTGTTGTGTCCTCTTTTGTTGTTGCTGTTGTTGTTGTTGTGGTGATTGTTGTTGCTTGTTCTTTGATGTTGTGCTGCGAGTTGATTGATTCCTTCTCTTTAGACGACAATTCTTCTTGTAGGACATTGCTTCGAGGTCTAGATCAATCTCATCATCGTCATCATATCCATCGTCATCACTCAAGACTGTGCCAGCATTTGTAAATTGTATATTAATGATTGATTGAGATTGTTGTGATTGTTGTGATGATTGTTTCTGTGATGATGGCTGTGATTGTTGTTGTTGATTCTGTTGAGCAGTTGTAGTCTTATGCTTCTTCCTGCCTTTGCGTGACTTGATCGAGCTGTATATATACTCGATGTCGGCACTGAAGCGCATTGAGCTCAAGATATCATTCTCTTTCTCTGGGTCCGATACATCCATGTGACGGATATAATCCAACAGGATAGACTCGTCCTCGTCCGCCTGCATCTTTCTCTCCAATGACATCAACAATGACTTGTCGTCCGACATGTCCTCTGTGTCATCATGCATCAGAAGCAGAGTATCTGGATTGTCCAAGTTTGCCCTCGCTCTCAACTCTTTCAAATTCTTATTCCTTATGAACTTGTCCTTCTTCTTATTTCTCCTATATATATTTCTTTGGCCTTGTTGTTGCTGCTGACCTGTTTGCTGCTGGCCTGTCTGTTGTTGTTGTTGACCTGTCTGTCCTTTGCCATTCTGAGGTGAAGTTTGAGTGGCACTACCATTGTTGTTGTTGTTTGTTGATCGTCTTGGTGTATTTTTCGCACCACCTATCACTATTCCGTCAATTACAACACTCATCCTGCTGTTGTTATGTATATATATAATAGTTTAATGTTAAACTATTTGTGAACTATATGTTTATAAATATTCTATATATTATTGAATTACTTGTTCAATTGTTTGTTTGATTGACCTATATTTCTAAATTATCTAATAATATTTCTTTGTTATATGTATATTATATATATTATTATCTATTATCTGTACAAGTAATATATGTTTGATGTTCCCCAGGGTAATAATGAAAGTGAGTTTGGAACCTTTGAAAAATTTCTGTCTTTATAATCCTGGTCGATCCTCAACCAAACACACTCACATTCTCAACCAATCAACAACAACCAAACACAGACTTGTGTGTTTATTTACTTCACTCATTCTGTTTTATTTTTTTTTATTCGAGTCGACTCAAACACACACACAAACATTCCTGAACATTTCATTTGAAGTTCCTTATTTTATTGAACTCACAAAACAAACAAACAAACAAAACAATGTAGAGATCGAATAATGGATGAGAGTGTGTGTGTGAGTGTGTGGTTCGAAGTGCACTCGATGTGAGTGAGAGGACAGAGAGAGGAAGGGTTGAGTCTTCGTTTGTTGAACTTTAATAATAGTATTACGCTCGAGAGTTTAAAAGGTATGTATGTATAATTAATTAATTAAGACCAACAACAATAATAACTATAGCAATCAGGTCGAATGGATGGTGTCGATATTGTTTGATTGATTGATTGATTGATGTTCGCATTGTGTCGTTTGTTGACTTTGTGTGATGATGGATGGATGTAGTTGTGAGTGGATGAGGATGTGAGAGGTGTCCAGTCTCTCTCCCTTTCTCTTCACCTTCACACTCACATGATGATAATCACTTTGTAGTGTGACACAACAGACAACAACAACAACCCACCCACATGTAGTGTGTGTGTTGGTGAAGGAAGCGATGATGGATTGGATTGGATTGAATTGAATGAATGATTGAATGATTGAATGAAGTATTGTGATTGTCGTGATATATATATATTCACTATTGTTATTGTATTTGTTGTTGTTGTTCAACATATATATTAAACAATCGTGTTCAATTTCCTAATATCAATCAACCAATCAAATAGTAGTTAGTAGCAGTATCAAGTAACATTAGAAACAAAGCAAGATGTCAAGCAACCCAACAGATAGACAGGATCAGAGGAAGAGCCAGTTCAAAAAGATTATCGATGCCGATGATGCTCGTCGAAAGAGAGAGGAACTCTCACTCTCAATCAGAAAGAGCAAGCGTGAGGAGTCTCTATCAAAGAAGAGGAATATAAAGACTGATCTCTCCATACATCAAAGGGTAAGGAGCATGCTGTTGTCGACGACAGGTTCAACATCAACACAACATCAACTTACTCATACATTCGTTCATTCATTGAACATACTCTATATATATATAGTTGGAGAACCTACCAGAGATGATCAAGGGACTGCAGTCGAATCAATATGAATCAGTACTCCAAGCAACCATTGCATTTAGAAAGCTATTGTCGATTGGTATGAATATGTGATTGGATGGATTGATTGTTTGATTGATTGATTGATCGATCAGTGATGGACATTGCTAACATTCGTGCGATCAAACAACAGAGAGATCACCTCCCATTCAAGAGGTTATCGATACAGGCGTAGTACCATTGTTTGTTCAATTCCTTACACGTACCGACTTCCCTCAGTTACAGGTAACTAGATAGATAGATTGATGGTGTATCACATGACGACCAACACTCACACTCACTCAATCAATCAATCAATCAATCAATCAATCAATCAAACGAATGAATGATCATTAGTTTGAAGCTGCATGGGCACTCACAAACATTGCCTCTGGCAATGCCTATCAGACAAAGGTGGTCATTGATCATGGCGCCGTCAACTTGTTTGTTCAATTGTTGAACTCACCAAACGATGACGTTAGAGAGCAGGCTGTTTGGGCACTGGGTAACATTGCAGGTGACTCTCGCGATTGCCGTGATCTGGTGCTCCAGTACGGCGCCATGCCACCACTGCTCCAGCAGCTGGCTGGCCAGCCCAAGCTCAGCATGGTCAGGAACGCCATATGGACGCTGTCCAACTTCTGTCGCGGTAAGCCCGCCCCCAACTTTGATATTGTGCGCATTGCCTTGCCCGACCTGGCCCGTCTGATTTACTACACCGACGAGGAAGTCCTGGTCGACGCCTGCTGGGCACTGAGTTATCTGTCCGATGGTATCAACGAAAAGATCCAAGCCGTCCTTGATGCCGGTGTTGGCAGCCGCATGGTCGAGCTGCTGGACCACCCATCGTCAGCCGTCCAGACACCAGCCCTGCGCACCATTGGTAACATCGTCACGGGAGACGACAAACAGACTCAGATCGTCATCAATGTCAACGCACTGCCCTTCCTGCAACGTCTGCTGCAGAGCAACAAGCGCGCCATCAAGAAGGAGACCTGCTGGACCATCTCCAACATCACAGCTGGCAGCCAGCACCAGATCCAGGAGGTGATCGACGCCAATATCATCCCATCTCTGATCACACTGCTAAGCAACGCCGAGTTTGAGATCAAGAAGGAGGCCGCCTGGGCCATCTCCAACGCCACGAGCGGCGGATCGCCGGAGCAGATTGGATACATGGTGCAGCAGGGATGCATCAAGCCACTGTGCGACCTCCTGTCGTGCACAGAGGCCCGCATCATCAACGTGGCGCTTGAGGGTCTGGAGAACATCCTCATCAGCGGCAGACGTGGCGAGGGCCAGTCCAACACGTACGCCAGCATCATCGAGGAGGCTGGCGGCTTCATGAAGATCGTCGAGCTGCAGAACCACAAGAACCAGGACACCTACGAGCGTGCTCTGCGCATCTGTCATCAGTTCTACGACGAGGATGGAGAGCTCAACGAGTTGATGCCAGCCGAGACCAACGCCGCAGGTACCTCGTTCACCTTCCAGCCCGTGGACAACAACTCCAACTTCAATATTTAAAGCAATTACATTCATTCATTCATTCACCATCACCTTTCCTCCAAAGAGGGCATTGCCATAGACCTTGCCCTTTGTAGCGCAGCGCAACCGCTTCAGTGCGTGGCGACAGACAGACAGATAGACAGACGTTGATTCATTCATTCATTCACCAATACTACAGCATTTGCAGCACTTCCCTCCCCTTCCTTCCACTACATAGCCCGGTGCCGGGCCACAATCCATCCATTGTGGCTACCACTGCCCAAGATCAAAGTCCAAGCCCTTCCTCACAACATCATCATTCATCACCTCCTCCTACTCATTTCACAATCATCCACAACGCGCCCTAATGAACTTCATTCCAATACAGAGAGAGTCTCAAGGCAGAGTTGGAGGTGCACCCATCCATCCACTGTTCAATTATAATGGAAATCATCATGTGTCTTTGTCTTGGTCTTAGTAGTTGGGTACATGCATACATACCAATCGTTGGGCAAGCATGTGCATTGTTGGTCGTCGTCCGCTTGTGCTCTTTATTTACATACTCTAGAGATTACTATTGAGACAGTTGTTCATAGCTTGTGATGCTTCTCCTCAATTCTGGCATTGATGGAAGTGATGCTGGATCTGCCGTACCAGTGCCTTCAGAGGGCACGGTCGTATGCGGCAGAGGTTCTTTTGATGTTGAGTTGTTGTTGTTGTTGTTGTTGTTGTTGTCATTTGGTGTATCGTCTTGGTCATTACCATCATCATAGGATTGTTCATTGTTTGTTGATGTTGCCGCTGCTGATGTTTGTTGATGTGTATCGCCAAACTGTTTCGATAGAAATGACGGTGGATGATGTGCCTGTTGTGGATAAGGTTGGTGTGGAGCATGTTGCATTGGTGGCTGAGGTTGTTGCTGTTGGTAGGGGAATGATGGAGGTTGCTGGAAGTTGGGGTTGTTTGGACCACCAAAGAATGGTTGGTAGAAGTTGTTGTTGCTCTTTGAATGTGACACCTTGATTGGACATCCATTGATCATTGCGCCATTCATCCCTTCAATCGCCCTCTTGATTGATTCGCTGTCTGCAAAGTTGATGAATGCGTATCTAATGTATGATCGATCATTCATGTTAGATGATGAGTCCAGACCAACCAGTCTTGATTGATTGATTGATTGACTGACTTACCCTCTCTGATGGAATATCTTGACAGACTTGATGTTGCCATACTGTTTGAATGCTTCGCTCAGGTCGTACTTGTTCGTGTCGGGAGCTAGGTCGCCAACATATATTGAATGTACCTGCTCGCCTGGGTTGAAGTATCCACCATAACCAGAGTTGTTATTGTTGTACTCGCCAAACCCAGCTGGGTTGTGACCACCATCGACACCGCCATTGGTCGGTAATGGATATGATGGGTTGAAGTGAGGTGGCCTCGAAGATGAAGAAGAGGAAGAAGGGTCATGGGATATGCTCTGTTCATCGTACTCGCCATCTTCAAAGCCACCACCTCTTCCGGGTCCAGCTCCTAATCCAACCCTCTGTCTCTTGTAGTCAAAGCCTGACATTCCTGTCGATGATGTATTATATGTTGAGTATGATTGATTGTTGTTGTGATTGTTGTGATTGTTGTGATTGATGCCTGCATCGTTGCCTCCGCCACCTCCTCCAGCCTGTGTTGATGCAGCTGGTGTCTGTGGCTTGCTCCTATGTATCGTTGGTCTTTTGAATCCTGTTGACTTGACCTCTGTGCTAGATTGATCGATACCCTATGTGTTGAGTTAGTAAGGTCATTCATGTCCGCCGTGCCTAGGCCTGGTCGCAGCAACACAACAACACACCTTTGTCAAGAGCATCTTTGCTTCTAATAACTTCTTCTTCTGTTCCTCCTCCTCTTTCTCCTTCTCCAATTTCTCTTGTTCTAGCTGTCGCTTCTTGACAATCTCATACTTCTCCTTCAGTGACTTCTCCTTCTCCTCTAGAGTGCCTCGCTTGCTCATTCTGAATGTTGATTGATTGTTTGTTTGAATAATAGATTGGTTGATTGCTTTTAAAACACTTGATAGGAGACTACATATGATAGTATTATCTCTTTCTACCTTTCCCTGTGTATCTATCTATCTATCTGGTTGATTGATTGAAGAGTGATCAAATAAATGAACCAGTCGAGAACAAAACCACAATCCACATCATCACAGTAATTCATGTTCATAGTCTCTTTCATTGATTCATGCAATCATTCAATCAAACAAGATCTACTACTACTACTACTAACTATGATGGATGAACATTACCTCCCTATTAGACCATGATCACTCAAACTCAATCAATCATGATCAAACAAACATTCATTCGTTCATTCAACTATTGTGTGTGATGATCAATGCTAATAATTGAATGAATGAATGTATGAATGAATGGATTGACATGTGATGGTGGATGATGTTGATTGATGGTCGAAGGGTGTGGGTGTGTTGTGTTCAAACAGAACAGGAAGTTGTTGGCTGTGGTTGATGTTGATGTTGGTTGTTGGTTGTGTGTTTGTTTATTATTATATGTTCAGGAAGACCAACAACACTATTACTACTTCTCTCATTCTATCAATCAATCACTATTATTATTATCATTATCATTAGTTATTAGTTATACACATACTATTCAATCAATCAATCAATCAACTCAATATTAAAAATATATATTGTCAATATTATTTAATTAATTATTTAAAAGGATGTCAGACGAGGACGATCATTATGAAGACTATGATGTAGATGACGATACAGCGGAGGACTCGGGAAATGAGTCGGCCAATGAGGACATTGATTTCGATTATAATACAGCAGACTATGATGATATACATACTTCATCATCATCACAAAGATCAATGGGAAAACTAACAAGACAGAAGAGCTTCGAGGTATTAGACAAGGCCGAGTTGCAATCAGAGTCCAGGAAAGTAATCAGAGAAGTAATGGATGTCCTCAGCATCCCGTCAGAGGCCGCTGTATCCGTCCTACTCAGGCACATGAAGTATGTATCATACATTGATTGATTGGTCATCGGCACTCACACGTCAACTCACTCATTCAATCAAAGATGGAACAAGGAGAAGTTGATAGAGAAGTATATGGATAATCAGGATAGACTGTGTGCAGAGGCTGGCATACCTAGTTTGAGATTGGATAGACAACCGGATCCTAGATTGCAGAGATTCAGTTGTTTGATTTGTTTGGAGGACTTCCAGCCGGTAAAGACATTTGCATTGTCATGCGATCATAGATATTGTTTGTCTTGCTGGAAGCTATATCTAGAGTGTAAGGTGGGCGAGGGCGCCGAGTGCATCTACGCCACGTGTCCAGCGCCCAAGTGCAAGGTCAAAGTGCACGAGGACGCAGTCAAGAGGCTGGTGGACCCGCCCACCTACGACCGCTACGCCAACTACATACTCAAGTCGTACGTGGACGACAACCCGCAGGTCAAGTGGTGTCCGGCGCCTGGCTGCGTGTACTCAGTGCGCTGTGACCGAAAGGAGCGCAAGGAGGCTGTGGTGTGTCGCTGCGGCTTCCAATACTGCTTCCTCTGCAACGACTTTGACATTGGCGACCACATGCCGTGTCCGTGCAGCCAGGTGGATCGCTGGCTGCAAAAGGCGTCGGACGAGTCGGAGAATGTCACGTGGATGCTGGCCAACACCAAGAAGTGTCCCGAATGTCGCTCGCCAATCGAGAAGAACGGTGGCTGCATGCATATGTCGTGTCGCAAGAATGCCGGTGGCTGCGGCTTTGAGTTCTGCTGGCTCTGTCGCGGACCTTGGTCCGAGCACGGATCGGCCACGGGTGGCTACTACAACTGTAACAAATACGATAAGTCCAAGGCCAAAGAGGACGATGAGAAGGCCGCCGATGCCAAGACCGAGTTGGAGGCCTACATGTTTTACTATCACAGATACGAATCACACAGGAATGCAATGAAGATCGCCGATGAACAAAGGAAGAATGCACAACAAAAGGAGCAACAGATACTTTCCAAGTTTGATGTTCGATCAGCCGACACCAAGTTCCTGATGGAGGCCACTGAACAGTTGATCAGGGTAAGTGTCATCTCATCGCCTGGAATCATTCCACTCACTAACTCACTATCTTACTCATCCAACCAATCAATTCTGGAACCATCCCATCAATCAATCAATGATATACAGAATCGAAGAGTACTTCAATACTCTTATGTATATGGATACTATTTGGACAAGAAGTCACAGGAACGTAATCTGTTTGAGTATCTCCAGGAAGATCTTGAGAAACATACTAATCAGTTGTCAACTCTGTACGAGTTGAATCTTGATAAGTTGGATGACTACCAGGCATTCATCAGATGGAAGGAACAAGTCACCAACTACACCAGGATCACCAAGAAGTTCTTGGACAACTTTGTCGAAGGTGTTGCTGGTGGATTGACTGGCACTCATCCAGGTCATATGTAAATCAATCCTCATTATTATAAACTTATCAATCATTCAACCAAGATAATCCTGAAAGGGGTTGGACCAACTTTGACAACCATGACAGTCTGAACGCAAAAATACTAATTTTGCCCAAGTTTGGACTGTCATGGCTCTCGCTACAATCCATTCTGTCGCCTCTCCTCTGCCTTGCCTAGTTTAAATGATCGATCAACATCAACTATTTACTTTCTACTAACTATATTATAAAATATATATACATCCAGAAGAAAAACAAACAACATAATAATAATGGTCACATTAGCGTTAAATTGTAGAGACAGCGACACATCAGAGTTCATTTGGATGGGTTACGACCGCAGTGGAACAAGTGGCTTTGCGATAGACAATGGTATCAACATCTGGGTCGAAGACCTTCAAGGAAGATTGGTGCCCTTTTCAGGATATCACTACCAAGCCACGGATAGTGTTGGCGTGTCAAGTCTCGTTGACAGCATTGTTTGTGGCCAACAGGTCGCTGTGATGATAATTGGGGCCATGAGTTCGAGCCAGGTACAATCACTTTGTAGACCGTTAGGTAAGCTTGGAGGACAACTATTTGCTACATATGGAAGTAATGTCAACTATTGTCTCCTGGGCCACAAAGGCAGTCACCAAGGCACTGCCATTGAAGCCATGGGAGATTACACCAAAGCTAAAGTCTATGTCGCTTGCTCAACAGTCCAACTCAACCAATTCACAAGGCGATTATCAATCAAATACTCCACTGATAGTAATGAATTTGTTGTGTACTTTGACAACTCTCTACTCGACCTTGGACTTAAAGATGGTTTGAATGTAGTTACTTTTGAAGATACTATGTATAGCATTTTCGGTCAACTGCGAGGAACTACTCAGACATACAGTACACATCTATATGACAATGCTTCCCAACAGTTCGCAGACTACCTCAATTCTTTGGACAGATCTACCATTGTTCTAGTCCTGACACGTGGAGATGCAAAAGCCAAGCTTCAGCAGAATGCAATCGATGCTATCAACAGTCTTGGAAGCACGATGATCACTCAGTATGTCAATCAGCCAGCCAATAATAGCTTTGTGATTATCTCTCGAACAAATAGATTGAGACCACTTGCAGAGGCCACATCCAACGGCCAAACACACCCGTATCTAGTCTCTTTCACACATCTGTCAAATGACGACTTTGGTAGTGATTACAGTGATGATATAACTACTTCAGTCCCAACACAACTACTAAATGGAATCGGTGAAACTACCATCTCTGCAGGCTCAGCGAATCCACGCACTGCACCCACTGGCACATCGGACTTTTGTTATACCTACATCCAGTCATATCCATCACAGATCAGCCCACAGCAACAAGCTCAATCATTCGTCATGAGTTCCATCAGTGAAGACGCTGGCACAGCATATTTCACAACTGGATACTCTCTCAACTCCCAAACAGCCATAACAAAGATGATAGATGATATTGGAAATATCCCCATCGGCAACCTTGTTGTCATTTGCTCCTCAACGCTCGACAGTGGTTTCATAATGCCCGACGATCTTTCACTGGCCTTCACCACAATTGGATCACAGTTTTCCTACAACATCACCTCGAACAGTTCATTTGCCATAATTGGAAGGAAAGGCTCAGCACCAGGATCCGTCGCTGAATCCCTCAACAATCAAGGTCCTGTTTCTGTCTACTCCAATTTCAGAAAGAGCCCAAGATTGTCAAGCCTTTCATTGATTCAGCGGTAATTTAAATCAGCGAAATGTCATGCAAGAACTTTGGATGAAAGTTTGGTGTGATGCTGTCGTCCATTTGAATGGTGGAAATCTGACACTTGAATGTCGTTGTGGTGATTGATCCAGATGTCTTGTTTTCCAAATCCTTGGCATTGTTTACAGAGGTACTAGAGGACATTGCCAATGAAGACTGACCCTGTAAACTCCACGCACTATCAAGCCATTGATTATCCTGCGAACTACGTCGAAGTCAACATAATCAATCCAAAAACGATCAATTATACCCAATATGTATACCCAGTTCCAGAATACTTCACTGTATCGATCACTGTTATTGGAGCTGAGGACAAGATGTCAGTCAACAGACGCTTCACCGATCTTCAATCAAACATCATTGCATTCAAATTCCCCACATACCCTGGTCAGATCCTTGGAGTCTCATTCCAAATCCTCACATCAAACCTCAATCTCAACACAAACTTTACATTCTCCATTGACAGTATGTTGGTGACACAACAGTGTCCAGATTTCAAGAACATCACTACTGATTGTGTCGATAGATCATACACATCAATTGAGAACGGCTACTCGAAGGGATACACTTCAACTGGAAGCAAAGTGTTTCTTATCAATAACTTGGATCACCATCCAATGTTTATCCCAGTTGACCCTCTTGGCCGATCTTACTCAAAGTACAATATCAATCTCAACGGCGGCCCTATCCTGAAATCACAGTTCATCACTTCCTCAAGAGACAATGCACATTGTTTATCATTCAACGGCACTAATCCAATTGGACTGAGAGATTGTGGAAGTATTGGAGATTCTACCCAAAGCTGGGACATATATCCCAATGTGATCCTGTTGCACGATACTACTTCATTAACTATTAAGCCAGGCGATAAAGCACACGATCCTGATCATCCTGACGATGTCATCTACTTTTCTATAGTCTCAAACTATCCATACAATTTGGAAATCCGATCGGTAGCTGGAACAAACTATTACATGATTGTCGATACCAGAACAAACATGTGTTTCCATTACTACGATATACTCGGCGTTTACACTCCTCTATTTGTATCATGCGATGAGACAAACGTATACCAACGATAAAAATTCAGCGGACACCCACCACTGGCTCTGGCCCCAACACCAACAAACACCAACACAAACAAAGACAAAAAAGAATAGAAGAATTAAA